TACCTTCTTGAGTTTTAACACAATAGATATTAATTCCCACTTCTAGGTCAAATGTATACTTTGGAAAAGATGGGAAAATTGTGTTCCTTAGCTATTACTTGGGAATGTAATATCTTTTTTACTTCCTTACAAAGTTACAGGGAAAAGCATATAATCCTTAATAAGTTAGACAAATGTAAGGCACCATTTCAGCTTCTGCCTTTAAAACTTCTTATATATTGTGTGTAATAGTAATGTGTATTTATTATGGATGGTGTTGGGTGAAAGGTGTGCCATAAAGGAAGTAACTTGAGGATGTGATAGTTCAATATGAATTCATTTCACTATGCTAAAATATAGTGCACATTTCTTCTAACACTCTGTGCCCTACCTTTGGATTTATTCTTTATTTCTTGCTGGTTCCCAGACTGTTTTACTGTTATTTCATCCCTCCCCATACATGGCAGCAAAGACTTGGAGCCATCTTTGTCCAGCTGTGCAACCCTCTTTTAATGATGATTCTGAAGTAGGGTGACTTGGCGACTTCACATCCTACAAACTCGTTAATGCTATGGGGGCAAAAGATTATTCCTAGTATGGGAGAGAAAAAGCTGAGGTCCTCTCATCTGCCATTCTCTGTGCGGTCTAGCAGTCACCAAGTCCTATCAAATGTATCTCCTAAATCTGTCTCAAATCAGTGCCTTAAGGCAAGGCATGAATCTCACTCCTGAAGCACAGAAGTACCCAACTTACAGGGCTCTTCCCTTAATTGTGTGCTCCCTCCCCTACCCTCTTGCTTACCCAGTTTTCCTTCTACTTACCATGCTGGAATTGTTTCCTAAACCTGAATCTCTATACATCAATTTCCTGCTTAAACCTTGGATGGCATCCAGCCTCGATTGGAAAGCCATGTATTCTCTAAATATGACAAGGAAGGCTTTCTAAATTTGATGGCTGTTAATCTCTGAAGTGTCTCCACTTGCGCTTGCACCCAGCAATACTGAGCAACTGCCCCTTCCCAAATGCGCCATACCTGTTTCAAAGCTCCCTGCTTTTACTCATGATTCTATTTGACATTCCTCCACTCTTTTTCATCTGAAAAATTCCAATTTATCCTTTAAAATTCTGTTTCAGAGTCCGTCTTTCTTTGATCCTCTTGTGGATCATCCTGGAAACAAACTACTACATCTAACAGTACATATTTTTATCATGGTACATATTACTCCAAATTTTAATTATTTGTTAAAAATATTCATTCCATTTTCAAATCTGTGAGCTTCTTAAGGACAAGGATCATGTTGTATTAATCTTTGGGTCTCAAGAAATTTCTAGTGTGTTTGACAAATTACAGCTACTTTATAAATATTTCTTAAGTAAATGAATGGATGGGTTCTTATAAGTGAAAACAACATATGCCCTGTATAATTGGTGGGACTAAGCTTTAGTAAAGGAAACATCTGACAGGCTCATCACTTATTTATCACTGTTAGTTCTTTTCACTCTTTTGATACTTATACAATCCTCTTGTAAAATCTAAAGTTGTAAGAATCTCACCTACATGAAGGAGCAACAGAAACTGACCAAATTGGGTTCATCAGTGAGCCACGTGCCCTGTGGCACACATTAGTGCCATCACAGATGGGTTATTTTCCCCTTCACCTCCTCCATATGACTTTGGGCAGCTGTTGTACTGAAATTCATGCAAAGCAGAGCTCCTTGTCAGTTTCCCTCATTTCAGAAACAAAACTGCTCTCTGTAAAAGCACCTGGTCCTTTCCCTATAGAACAATGTGCTCTTCTCACTTTCAAAGGCAGTGAGAATGTAGTCAGGCATTGTGTGTCTCAAGTCCCATTGATCAGAGTTAAATTGGAACCCAGGGAGCCCACAGTGGTGCTTCCTGCTTGCTGAATTCATAAGCTTACTTTGTCCTAGAGTCCCTCTATTGAATCAGTGTAAGCTGTAATCTAGCAGGCCGCCTGTTTTTACTATTATGACTATGATCAATGGGTAATAGGTTAGTATTCTCAATTTTATCTGACTGCGCTAGTTCCCAGAAAACTCTGGGGGTAAAATGAAAAGTGTGTTATTTCTCTTTTATATTTATAATTATATTCTGTGCCTTCTATTATTTCATACCACAGAGATTTTTTTCTATCTTTTCCAAGGTACACATTTGACCTGGAAGTGAGAATTAATACCTATTGTGTAACTAATGATGGTTCTTTTATGAGTTAATTAATTTAAAGAAAATGAGGAATAGAACAAAAGTTGACATTAATGTACTTTGCATCTTTTTCTACTTCTTCATAAGACTTGATTTTGTTTGAAAATGTATGGCCCTAGATTATAAGCAATGTAAATTAGTTTCTCTCATTTCAAATAATTAATCTCCAAAACTAGTACAATTTGAATTTTACTCTTCTACAAATCAGATTTGGGAAATATAATTAAAAGTTCATTTTATGGAAAGCAAACTCAGCTTGTTTGGCTGTTTTCTCTCTTTCCTCTTTCTTCCTCTTTAATTCACTTATTTAATACATACGAGCTGGCCATATCATTTGTTGGCTGGATTTTGCTAGGCACTATGAAGAATTAAAATATGTGAGGTTAGTGCTCTCAAAACGTTAAGAGAAACAGACAAAATGTTAAACACAAATGAGTTGTGACAACACCAAGAAACAAGTAGTACAAGCCGCAAGACCTGCAGGTTCAGATGCCAGTGTTTACCTCTGATGTTCTCTATCAGAGCTCTGTGGACTACCGTCCTTTGTGATTTATTTTTAATTATTCTTTTCATCTCATTCTGACATAGACAGATTCAAGAACATATCACTCTTTCTATCGTCTATCTCTCTTATTGCCTCAACTCTACTTCTGACCCTTGCAATAAAAAATTGGAAGGTATATTCATACTATTTTGTGAAAGTCAGTATTATCTACCCACTTCTTCTAAAATTAAGGAGATGGGATTATGTGAATTAGGAAGCAGGTTTTTTTTTCCCAGATCTATATGTCAACTTTACCTGCATATATGAAATCTTACAAAAAGAAAATATTTGACCATGTTCAGCAACAAATGGTTACCAAATTGATGAAGCTTCATTAATAACGCTACTCCTTTCCAACAGTGATTTAGGACAGTCCCTGGTATATTATCAAACCCGTTGTGAATGTATGCATGCTCTTCTCTTGACGCCATAAACCAAAGTTATTTCACATCCTTCTTTCCCTTCCTGGCAATGGGAAAATAGTGCTTCACCCATAGAAGCATCTGGTTAGGCTACTGGACCAATTTGATGAACATCACTTTTATCATCGTTTTTTTTTTTTTTTTTTAATTTTACCCTCAGGTGAGTCATTCTCATTACCTTTTGAGCAGTCTTCTGCTGCAGTTTTGTTAAATTCATCCTCAGGAAATTAACCCCTCTCACGTTCACATCTTGCTTTCTACTTCTACGGCTATAATTATCTCACTGTGTCTTAATTTCTTTTATGCTTTTATATCTCTAGTACTATAGCAGAAGCACCTTAAGGATAAGCACTGTGGCTTGATCACTGTGATGCACTCAGAGGACAGTGTGATCCTGGCTTGATCACTGTGGTACAAAGTGTAATCAGGTTCCTGGAGTATGAAAGGCACTCAGTAAAGGCTTGTTTTGTTTTCATTCATTTATTTTTAATTGGCAGGTAATTATTGTGTATATTTATGGGGTACAGTGTGATGTTTTGATCCCTGTATACATTGTAGGAAGAGTCAGTCAAGCTAATTAGCATATCCATCACCTCACCAACTTATTTTTTGTGATGAGCATGCTGTTTGTTGAGTGAGTGCTCAGAATTGAAAGGCATTGTGTGCCATGGAGGTACAGAGGACAAGTGCTAAACCCAGGCAATCATAGAGAGTTGGGGAAGACTTCAGAGGAAGATAGACAAACTGAGCTTTTAAGAGTGATGGCAAGTTAGCTTGGCATAGGGAGAGGACAATCCTGTCTAAAAAGAGCATGGACAAAGACCTAAATTTGAGAAAGAGCCGGGGCCATAGAAAGACAGGAATAAAAACCATGCAGCTACAATTCTTGTTAACTATGACTGGGAATCAAAGCAGAAGTCAGTGTGGTAGAGCTACATGTGCATCTGTATATACGCACATAAAGGGAATCTTTGGTTTTAAAAGTTTAATCAGATGTAATAAAAAGTAAAATCCATCAGCCTCTAAAACTCTTGATATTTAGCCCAAAGCCCTCTACATGACTAAACATATCCATTAACTTTCTCATTATTTTCTTTTTCCTCAAACTATAGTTTAATTTTTTTCTATCATATTTTAATTCTCTGTTTTGACTATTGGCATTTTAATAGTATATTTTAAATAGTTCCACTGCAGACAATAGTATGGTCAAGGTAAGATCTGTGAATCTAATCACCTTGCATGAAGTTGTTATATACAGAAAAACTGTTGCAAGTTCCAAACACTCAACTTAGATGAACATTTAGAAAATTACCTGATTATAAATTGGTGTTTTTAAGTGCATAAGGGACAACTGGCAACAGGGTTAGATGGAAGCCATACTGGTCTTAGAGTCCAAAAATCTGCATCCTTCATTCACCAAGTCCATGAGCCTCTTGGTTTTACCATCTGTTGAATGGGATCCACAATATCTGCTCACCAGTCTTAGGTATTCTTAAAATTGAAAGAGAAACTGAATGTGAAACAAATCACCTAACAGATGGTAGATGGCTGTAGTTAGTTATAGCACAAGGTCATTTGCTATGGTAGTTATTTTTATGTTAGACAATAAAAATTTTATACCACCTCCAACAACTACAACAATAATACATATGGAAAACTATGTGCAGCAATTTAGGTTAATAAAAGTAAAGCTGTACTTTTTAAAACACACAGTTTTAAATAGGTTTTCTATATGTTTGTGGCACAAATACAGCAAGTGTGTTTACAGATAAATGGCTTCTTGCCTCAATAGCGTGAGGATAATATGCATTGTAACCATTTTGTCTCATAGAATGATTGAAGATAGTGGGAAAAGAGGAAATACCATGGCAGAAAGAAGACAGCTGTTTGCAGAGATGAGTAAGTATGGAACTTTTAAGGAACGCCCTATAGTTTCCATTGAGTACTCATGGAAAGGCTGGAAATAACCACTTACCTTTATGACATTTATGTTTTTCCTTAGGATCCTAAGTTCCTTTCATGAGTTGTACATTTTGGCCTTTTTACCCCCTTAGTTGTTAAGAGTTCAGTCAGTCAGTGATTCACCATAATTTGTTATTAGGCTATATATTTTATATGGAAGAAAAAGTTTATGGACACATATACACACACACATGGACACTTGATAAACACTATTTAGTGTTGATATTAATAAGTCAACTAAATTTTAAACTCTGTGTTCATCCCTCTGCACTGTCACAGAAGCTGGCATACTGCAGGCACTAGATAAAATTTGTGAAATGAATTATTGACTTTCTTCCCTGCCAGGTGATATCATATGTTTATGTGGAAATGAGAAGTTAGTCACGATTGCTGAACCAAACTATAAACTGTCATTCAGAACTTAATGTACAAGAGGAGAATCTATTCTGCAAACTCGTTTTTTTTTAAATACTAAGGAAAATGAAAGATTTATCTTTTATTTTATCTTTTACTGACTCCAGTGAAGAATCTGTTCAACAAAGGCTATTGGTTTATGTACGTGCACACTTGCTGTATAAGTAATTGGTTGGTAGCATTTCCCTTGTAGACCATTTTTCTTATTCATAAAGAAAATGAACTTGATTATGGGAAAACCACACATCTCAAGTTGCATGTTATAAAGTAAAAAGCATGGTTCTCTTCGTGTCTTTTTGTCTCTTCTTCCTGCATACAGAATGAGGATGTGCAGGAGTGACTTGTAAGCCTTTTTCCCTAAGAAAGCAGTAGACAAAATTAGGTTTCTACTAAAGATTGGAAGTGATTGGCAAGAATGAGGGTCAGAACAGAAAAAGGAAAGTCCCAGATAATAAGATTCATATTTTCCTTTTTTATTCCCTAATCATCTGGTGGTACGAAGATAGCATTAGAACTAACAGAGAAAAGAAAATTAAAATTGATGTGGGGAATCTCAATCGTGTTCCTTGCTTTTTCCACCTTTAGAGATGTGCCTAGAGTGTTTGTGAGATTTTCAGCTAGGCCTTCCAATTTCCTAGACCCCGTGTGTGGTACTGTGTCTTTGCCTGGAATTGTGACCTTTGTGCAAGTACAAATCCAACAGGGCAAGGAGCCTAGTGACTGCCTGTCCATTTAAACAAAATCCAAAGCAGCACAGGTGTCCTCCAACAGCACATTCTTAGGTTAAAAAGGCAAGAATATATCACGGGACAATGTCTTCTCAGACACAGTAGAAAAAAATTAATATTTACCATAAAAAGGAAATAAAATCTGGGGAAAATCTTTGAACTTATCATTATAACACTAAAGACTGTATCAGATAGCACACTGTATAGAACTATAAAAGTATGCATATTTAATGATTTTTAAAAATCCTTCTTTGAGTTTAAGTATTTCTATGCTTTCCTGATGCAGTGCCTGGCTCAGACAAATACGTATGTTACAAATGTTTGTTGAATTAAAATTGCCCAACTCAAAGAAAGCTCAATATGATTTTTAGAGACTTAGAAATAGGACAACTCTAAATTTTTATTCAACTGAGAGAGACTTAAGAAAATCATGTGTTTGCTTCCCAAATTATAACTTTACCTTTTTATAGAAACATCTTAGTGATGTCTTGCAGCTTTATTAGTTTTATGAGTTCTTTTGATTAATGGTCAGAATAGATAAACAGGCCAAATATGTGTCTTTCCTCCCTGGGTGTTCCAACTCAAAGATTGGCAAAAACAGCTAAACATGTCTGACCTTATTAATTTATTAGTTTGAGCAACATGTTTCTATCAGCCCTAAGTAGGACACATCCACAATAAGTAGGATTCTGTTGGATAAAACAATTGGCTGCTTTCAAAGGGAGCAATTGATTTTGACAGGTAGACTGTCATACAAAAGAGAAAGGTGAAATCATTGAGAATGTGTTAAATGGTTGAAAAATATATGGGTATCCCAGCCCTATCAGCAGCACACCAAAGAAAGGAAAGGAAATTCTTACCAGAGAAGACTGACATCAAGATTCGAAAAGTAACTTCTAGGAATCCATGCTTTCTAGACAGGGAGAAAAAAAGGACTAGATTTGTAAATCTTTTTGTCTAAGTATTATCTAGAAATATTTAAAGAAAAAACAACAAAAGAAAGTGCCAATGAGATTCTTTGCTTTAGAAATCACAAATATGAAAGAAAAGTTGTAACGGGCAGAGTTAAACAGGCAAGGAAGAGTTTTTTTCAAGACTATTGCACCAGGGGAGAGAGACTGAACTCAACTTCCCTAGAACAAAAGTCAGGAGGTACTTTAAGCACTGGGGAAAAATACTGGAGGACTTCAGGGAGGAGGTTGGTCAATGTGATTAGGCCATCTGTTTGCTAGTTGTCACATTTAAAAGAGGCTTCTACCCTCCCAATAAGACTTGGAGATAGAGGTGATACATACCTCCTTCAATGATTATGTTTCAAAGGGCTGGTACCCAGGTTCTTGAGAAAGACATTCCTGGGTTGTAAACTTGGCAAAATATTTACATCTCAAAGCAGCATAGAATTTACAATGAAAAGTTTTCTAAAGTAAATGCTATAAGAAAACAGAGGTCAGAAGCCTAGGGCAAGGAAGATGTCTGTCTAAAGTCAGACAAGTTGAGAAAGTCTTGGCCTTAGAAAGAGAAAGCAATTATAAGAAAGTTTGGCAAATTCAGGTGATTTAATTAGAGAGAGCAATTGATAAAAAAAAAGTTTGGCAAATTCAGGTGATTGAAGCATATATGTGTTAAACATTCACTCTTAGCTTATTACTATAAGCAGCAGAAGCAGGAATAAACAGCAAAGCAATGAAATTAAAAGAAACATGGACTGAAAAACAGAAATAATAGCTTTATATAAAATATCGGGTGACCACCTACTTTGATTTAAGAAATTCTGTACAAATTCTCCCCTAACCCAAAATTGTCTTCAAAATAATGCCCTAATTATCAGTTTGCTTAGTACTGTGGGTGAAAGCTGGGGGGGGGGGGGGGCGGGAAAAAATGAAACTCTAATTAAATATAAACGTCATCCTCACCCTGACCTTTCAGCCATCAAATAAGTTTAGCAGCTCAAATAAGTTTATCGGACTGACGTTTAAACAGAATAAATTGTTCTTGGAATTAAACTGTCCTTCTTTTCTGTTTTTCTATTCTCAGAGCACATTTACTTAGCCTTACCTGGTAGTTACTTGTGAACATGTCCACACCACTCACTGCTGTGAACTCCTTTTTAGGGACAGACCTAGGACGTGTACATTCAAATCCATACACCTTAGATGCTGAATCAGTGCTTGTTTAAAAGCTGTTGGGACACAGGATGGGTAGGTTTTAATGGAAGGGATGTAAATGGAAAACACTCTTTGAGAACATGGAAGGCTGCCTAATAAGGTAAGATAGGTCTTGATGAGAAATGAGTGTTGCCACTGGCCTCTCAGCAGAAGCAGAACCTGAAACCAAAGGGAGGCAAATGAAATTACTGAACAAATACTGTTTTTGGCTTTTGCTTTTGTTTTTATTTTTGTTTTGAGGCAAAACAAAAGACTGAGGCGACTCTGTCGCCCAGTCTGGAGTACAGTGGGGCAATCTCAGCTCACTGTAACCTCTGCCTCCCGGGTTCAAGCGATTCTCATGCCTCAGCCTCCCAAGTAGCTGGGCCTACAGATGCACCAGGACTACGCCTGGCTAATTTTTGTATTTTTAGTAGCGATGGCATGGGGTTCACCATGTTTGGTCAGGCTGGTCTCAAACTTCTGACCTTAAGTGATCCACCCACCTCGGCCTTCCAAAGTGCTGGAATTACCGCATGAGCCACTGTACCCAGCCTAAATACTGTTGAATTATTTGAAGGCAGGCTGTCCCTCAGACTGTTGGCTGGAGTCAGCAGATGCACAATTGGAAAGGAACCTAAGGCATGATTTTGAATGCACACTATGAGTTTTAGGAATGCTGATCTAAAAACTTCAGAAAAATGACATGAATGACCCCACCACCACAGGCTGTCGTGGATACGGGGATTGTTTTCACTTGCTTCTTTGTTTCTCATGCTCCTCACTCTCTTTCAGATGTTAACACCATGGATCACCACCCTAGAAATTCTATGTCACCACCCAGCCCAGTCTGCTGCTTTTTCTGTCCCCTCTACTTCTCTTTTTCTGTCTCTTAGTACGCTCTAGCACTGAAGTCAGAGAATTTAAAGTTTTCTTCTTGACCAGTTTTCTCCATATACAATTTGTCTTTCTCTCAAAGCTTTTTCTTTATTGCTGTGGCTCTTGAGTGTTCAGAGTCCCCCAGAACAACCTCCCATTTCTCATATGCCAGCTTGTCCAAAAAGGCAGCACATAAGCTAAACTTCTCTTCCAGTCTTGTCGACTTGTCAAATCTTCTGCTAATGAAGCAGCTTGAGGAGGACTCATTGTCAGCTCCACTAATAATGCCCATCACAAAAATATCTATCGTCCCTGTCAAGGCGGCTCCAGTTCTAGTGTTCCCAAAGCCACATGGTTTTTGAACAACTGCCAAATAGCTGGGCACAGTTCCGAAGTGGGGAGGACACTCCTATTCCCAAGTTTGTGCCTCATTTTGTCACTAGAATAAAGAATAGCCCTACTTGTGCACACGGTCTCCTGTTGGAAAAATATTTCCAATCTTGACCCAGTAGAGCACACTACTATGTTTTGTATGCTTATTGATAATTCCTGGAACGTACTAAAGCTCTAATCCTTATATCCAACTATCTGCTGGATACCTCCACTTGGACATCTTACAAGCAACTCAGACTCTTTATCCCAAAACCGTCTTCACCCATCAACGAACCTATTCCTCCCTGTTTGTACCTTACTTAGCTCAGTGAGGAAGACTCTATCCCATTCAGCTACCTAAGATAGCAATCTTTTTTTACCCCTAAACTCCTCCTTTACC